TCAATGCACTTTTGCATCTCTGCATATGCAGATTTTTCCATTTTTAGTTTTGGATCTGAAGACAGTGCATATTTGCACACCTGTGTGCATGTCCCTATTAAAAAAATGCCAGCATTCAGATGCATAAAAAAAAAACACTTTGCATTGCTTTTTTTTTTATGGTCATGTGCATGTACCCTAAAAGCCCCATGGCCCGAAATTGCCAACTTGATACACCTAGAGTCCTGAGATGTACTACTCTGGAGTAAAATAGGATGGATATTGAATGACATGAATGTACAAATTGTTCATCTACTGTTTGCTTTATAGTGTCTGAGTGTTGCCTATAAACATGTCACGCTTTTGCAATGCACTTGTCAAATAAAGCAGGTTTCTTATTTTATAGGCCTTTAAAATCAGCAGTAGATAATTTTCTTTTTTTTTTTTTTTGCAGTAAACTTTCTCGTAATAGAGTTTTTGTGACACACAAAAACTTGTTAGGGCCTACTGGGTAACTGAGAGCAAGGAACAGAGGAACAAATATGCAGTTCAGACTGGTATACAGTTAGGTCCATATATATTTGGACACAGGCAAAATTTTAGTTTTTTTTTCAGGTATTTACCAAAACATATTCAAGCTATAGTTATATAATGGATATGGGCTGAAAGTGCACACTCTCAGGTTTAATGTGAGGGTATGAACATCCAAATTGGAGGAAGGGTTTAGGAATTTCAGCTCTTAATAGTAGCCACCCCCCCTTTTTCAAGGGACCAAAAGTAATTGGACATTTGAATCAAAAGCAGTTTCATGGTCAGTTGTGGGTTACTCCTTTGTTATATCTTCATTAATTAAGCAGGTAAAAGGTCTGGAGGTGATTCTAAGTGTGGTATTTGCATTTGGAATCTATTGCTGTGAACCTACATCATGTGTTCAAAGGAGCTGTCCATGCAAGTGAAACAGGCCATTGTAAGGCTTCAAAAACTAAACAAATCCATCGGGGAGATAGCAGCAACATTAGGAGTGGCCAAATCAACAGTATGGTACATTCTGAGGAAAGAAGAACACACTGGTGAGCTCAGCAACACAAAAAGGCATGGATGTCCACGGAAGACAACAGTGGTGGATGATCGCAGGATCCTCTCTATGGTAAGGAAAAACCCATTCACAACATCCAGACAAGTGAAGGACACTTTCCAGGTGGGCGTTTCATTGTTAAAGTCTACAATCAAGAGAAGTCTTCACGAGAGCAAATACAGAGGATTCACCACAAGGTACAAACCATTCATAAGCCTGAAGAATAGAAAAGCCACATTAGACTTTGCCAAAAAACATCTAAAAAAGCCAGACCAGTTCTGGAAAAGCATTCTTTGGACAGATGAAACTAAGAATAATCTGTACCAGAATGACGGGAAGACAAAAGTGTGGAGAAGACTGGAACAGCTCATGATCCAAAGCACACAACGTCATCTGTAAAACATGGTAGAGGCAGTGTGATGACGTGGGCATGCATGGCTTCCAGTGGCACTGGGTCATTGGTGTTTATTGATGTGACAGAAGACAGAAGCAGCCGGATGAATTCTGCAGTGTTATATTCTGCAGAGATATAGTGTCAGCCCCGATTCAGCCAAATGCAGCAAAGTTGGATTGGACGGCGCTTCACAGTACAGATGAACAATGATCCAAAACACACTGCAAAAGCAACCCAGGAGCTTTTGAAGGAAAAGTGAAATATTCTGCAATGGCCGAGTCAATCACCTGATCTCAACCCAATTGAGCATGCATTTCACTTGCTGAAGGCAAAACTAAAGGCAGAAAGAACAACTGAAGACAGCGGCAGTTAGAGCCTGGCAAAGCATCAGAAAGGAGGAACCCCAGTCTTTGGTAATGTCCATGGGTTCCAGACTTCAAGCAGTCATTGCTAGTAAAGGATTCTCAACAAAATATTAAAAATTAACATTTTATTTATGATTATATACATTTGTCCAAGGACTGTGTATAAAAAATGGTTGCAGTTCCTAAAATTTGTACTTGATATTTATGTTCAACCCCTTGAATTAAAGCTGAAAGTCTGCACTTCAAATTCATTTGGATTGTTTCACTTTACATTATTCTGGTGGCATACAGAGCCAAAAGTATGAAAATTGTGCCTGAGTCCAAATATATATGGACCTAACTGTACGTTATCTGGAGGCAATCCTTACTGATGCCACTTTGTGTAGTGCTGCAGATATTAAAGTGTATGTAAACCTTAAAAGAGAAGTTTACTTTTCCAAAATAAATAAATGCACTTATTTTTTGTTGAAAAAAATGTGCATTTATTTTTTTTTTCCTGCAGGAGCCTTTAAAGCATTGCTCCGGGATCAGTGAATTAGGGGTGCAATGACAGACTTCTGCAGACAAGCCCTGCAGCTTTCAGTCTGTACCTCCATACGGGCTGTCTATTTGAAAACTGCAGGTCTTTTGAGCGAACTACACAAGCACTTTATTATTATACAGGATTTATATAGCTCCAACAGTTTGCTCAGCACTTTACAATATAAACTTTTCAGCTCCCTCTCAATTCATTCAGAACTGCAAGATGTAGTTCATTAATTACGGAAACTGTGAATGAATGACGTGGCCATGTAGATGGCAGTGCACTTTTTAAATTTTGACAGCAGGTGTGGGGTAAAGATCCCCTGCCAGCTGTCACACGGGGGGGGGGGGGGGGGGGGGTTGGGAGAAATAGTTGCAATCTGTGCTCCATTAGGTTCAATGGAGTGTACTATCACATAGGGTTTCCCCCTATGTAATAACAAAGTTGAAATAAAAGGTTTTACAAAATTCAAGAAGAATAAAAACAGTGTTGGCCACAAGACATCCAAAATCATTGTGGGATATTGTAGAGTGACTTTAAATAGTGTATTTTTAAAAACCCTCTACTACTGCTTTTTTTTTTTTTACATCTGATAGTCACCATGGTATACTGTTTACACCAATAGGGTATGCTTAGAGAGACCTTGTCACCAGCATAAAAAATTGCAGGGCATAGCACAGGTAAATCAGGTATCTTAACCACTTGCCTACAGGGCACTTATACCCCCTTCCTGCCGAGGCCAATTTTCAGCTTTCAGTGCTGTCGCACTTTGAATGACAATTGCGCGGTCATGCACACTGTACCCATATGAAATTTTTATAATTTTTTTGAGACAGATAGAGCTTTCTTTTGGTGGTACTTAATTACCTCTGGGTTTATTATTTCTTGCTAAACAGACCAAAAACAACTGAAAATTTTGAAAAAAAAAATGTTTTTTCTTAGTTTCTGTTATAAAATTTTGTAAATAAGTGATATTTCTCCTTCACTGATGTGCGCTAATGAGGCTGCAGTGATGGGCACTGATAGGTTGCACTGATATACACTAATGAGGAGGCACTGGTGGGCATTGACAGGCATCACTGATGGGCACTGAAAGGCAGCACTCATATATGGCACTGTTAGGTGGCACTGACTGGTGCTGATGCACACTGATAGGCAGCACTGAAAGGCTGATATGTGGCATTGATGTGCACTGGTAGGCACTGATATGTGACATTGATGGGCACTGACAGGTGGCACTGATGGGGCTACACTGATCATTAGTGCCCTGATGAACAGCGTACATGTCCCCTCTGAGTAATGCCGATTACCGGCTCTCCTCTCCTCACAAGCTATCAGCGTGACAGCTCGTGAGGAGAGAAATGCTGATAACCGCAATTTCCTTGTTTACATGCGATCAGCTGTGATTGGACACAGTTGATCACATGACAGAGCCAACGTCTTTGGCTCTTTTTGTTGATCGGTAAAACCGCTGTGTCCCAGGGACACAGGGCACCACTGATCGGCTCGTAGGCACGGTTAGAGTGGGAGGACGTCCTATGACGTCCTCCCAGAATGAGAGAACCGCCTTGCGCCCGTCATTTCCTTATATGGTGGGCGGGAGGCGATTAAAAGCCTACTTTAAGTGTTTTTCCTTTATGTAGCTACCAGGGTTGGAGCAAGGGGGAATAATACAAAGTGTCACTTGAGTGACAGCTCTGAGTCTGCTGGTGCTGCTGAAATCACATCCAAGATGGCACGCAGCAGCACTCACAAGGGTGGCTTTTACAGGTAAATAAAATACATGCAATGCACATATACTACGGGAATCATTTTGTTTATATGAATGGTCTGGTGAATATGGTCTCTAAAGAGACACTGTTGCCAACTCAGGACAAAGTGACAGTGTCAATGTGAAGCCCACCCCCCACATCACAGTTATTCTTCCCGGTGCTCCCTCAAAGCTTCTGTCTCCACTGCCATCAGCACTGAAGGTCACATTCTCCCCATACTTAAAAACACAGGTGTGCCAGTTGCAGCGGAGAGAGTGCTGGTAAGGAGAGTTTGTAATTGTTGTAGGTGCTCTAAATGGGCAAGGTGATATTGTTTTTTTAATTTAAAATCAAGAGGAAATCTGTCATGAAAGAAACCGAGTGTGTACCATTTCTGATCTCTCCATCTGAGAAAGGCAGTTGCCTGGCATTGGTAATTTCTTTTTGGTTCTAAGAGTTTGAGTCACTTACTTGGAACAAATATGCAGATAAGTATTTTACTTTGATCTTCCACTTGGTGTGATGTGATGCAATTGCTTCAAAATGGCACCCTAACACACATTGCCAGTGAACATGCATTGAAGTGCACCACAATTAATATGCATTTTTTTGTGAGCTGCATTACAAAAATTGTATGTGCACTCACCATGGTAAAGAGTAGTATATTGCTTGTTGGCACACATGTGAACAGGGACAGAAGGTAACTACTTCACTTACCTGCTTGTATGTTAATCGCAATCAGTCTGACAACAAACAGCTCTGAATATTTGAATCTATGTTACATAGAAAGTTACACAGTACCTATTCAGTAAGCAGAATTATTTCTGGTGCATTATTGAAAAATGTGTAAGTTTAATATTTTCTCGTACTGGTTTGATTTGAAGTTTCTTACAGTTTGAGATGTCCTTTCCCTTTCAGATGCGAGCCTCTGGTAAAGCACTCCTGGATGCTGTCTGCAGCCACCTTAACCTAGTTGAAGGTGATTACTTTGGACTGGAATTTCAGGATCACAGGAAAATCATGGTAAGTGACTTTTAAAGAGGCAAACGTGAACTTCCCAACCTTTCTGCTTTCACTTAGAGAGACTTATTGAAACAGCCATGTTTGCAGGGACAAGGCACCAGTGAATGATATGCATTCATTTTTGCAAATAATTGGAATGAGGTTACACAATAATATAATTATTATCTTGCGTTATTATAACTTTGCGGTAGAAATAGGTAGTTCTTGTGATGGGAATCTGGGAGACCCTAGAAAGCACCAGAAGTATAATTAAGTGGTGAATCAAACAAAAATTATTGCCAAGGGGACTTCTGCTTTCTTGCTGCTCAAACTAAAGATAGTGAGTCAAATTTCTCTTGACATCAATGGTTGAATATTATTTGTATGTCAGTAAAAGAAAGCTTTGCTGCTCTTTTAAAAAGCCAAGACATTGAAGAATACCTGTTCATTACTCCTGCTGCAATTTTTTTCCTGAATTTGTTAATAACTTTGACTATCTTGCCAACTGATTTACAGTCAATAATAAATATGTTTATATTTGTGTGTTTCTTTCAGGTATGGCTGGACCTCGTTAAGCCCATCATAAAGCAGATCAGAAGTGGGTATATCCTTTCTGTGTGTAGTTAGCAGAGCCCTACTATAGCCTAGCAGCATAGTCTGTAGTGCCGTACAATGGATTTCTTTCTTTTTCTTCTTGCAGGACCCAAGACTGTAGTTCTGAAGTTTGTTGTCAAGTTCTTCCCCCCTGATCACACCCAGCTGCAAGAAGAATTAACCAGGTCTGCATATTCTGCTGCTACTCTGTGGAAGCAGGAATTCTACATGTATATAACTGAACAGTCTACTAAAATAAAATAATTTATGATCTTAACCACTTTTTTCTTGTAAAGCAACTACATGCCTTTTAAAAAATATATACAGTATGTATTAATAAAACCAGCGGGCGTGTTTGAGTGCTCTGCCTGTGCTTTATAACGTATTAGGTACTTGAATCACAATTTTCTTGTGCAATAAATGACCTACTTTTCCTAACAGATCAGAGACTCAGGGGCGTAGATAAGGGGGGGGGGTGTCAGGGGGGGTCTTATCCCCCCCCCCCCCAGAGGACAGTTGCCAACTATCCCTACAGCCTCTAAATCTCCACTCACCCGCGAGTGGAAATAAGGTGGGGGGCGACGAGCAGTGCCGGGACTAGTGGTGCGTAGGAGAGGTAGAGTTGAGGGGCAGTGACCAGCAACGATCTCCTGTATGGCTTTCGATGAAGCAGCTGGAGGGAAAGGAGGAGGCGCAGCTTCCAGCTGCTTAATTAAAAGCCATACAGGAGATCGCTGCTTGTCACTGCCCCCACCGCTGCACAGAACATACCTGATTGTTCCAGTTTTTTCTGCTCCCTCATCCTCCCTACCACCGTTTGTGTTTTACTCAGTGCCCAGTCCCTCCCTCCATCCTCCGCACCAATAGGAGAAGAGGGGAGAGAGGCTGGATCTGCTCTGCTTCCCCCCCCCCCTGTGCCCGCCCACACTCTAGTCCATGCAGCTTCAGAGGAGGTGTGGGCTGGAAACTGAACACAGCAGCTACAGCTCTAAATCAGTGCATCTGAGTGAGTCACGTGAGCCTGACCTAACCTTCCTTCCACCCCTCCTTCCCTTCCTTCCACCCCTCCTTCCCTTACACACCCACCCACCCACCCCCCCTCCCTTCCACCCACCCACCCACCCCTCCCTTCCCTTCCACCCCTCCCTTCCCTTCCACCCCTCCTTCTCTTCCACCCCTCCTTCCCTTCCACCCCCCTCCTTCTCTTCCACCCCTCCTTCTCTTCCACCCCTCCTTCCCTTCCACCCCTCCTTCCCTCCCTTCCCCCCCACCCCTCCTTTCCCCCACCCCACCCACCCACCCTACCTCCCTCCCTTCCTCCCTTCCTCCCTTCCCTCCTCCCTTCCCCCCCCTCCCTCCCTTCCCCCCCCCCCTTCCCTTCCCCCCTTCCTTCACTTCCCCCCTTCCTTCCACCCACCCTCCCTTCCCTTCCTTCCTTCCACCCCCCCTTCCTTCCACCCCCCACCCCCCCTCCCTTCCCTTCCTTCTTTCCCACCCACCCCTCCCTTCCCCCCCCCTCCCTCCCCCCTTCCCTCCACCCACCCCCCTCCTTCATTCCACCAACCCACCCCTCCCTTCCACTCACCCTCCTCCTTCATTCCACCAACCCACCCCTCCCTTCCACTCACCCTCCTCCTTCATTCCACCAACCCACCCCCTCCCTTTCTTCCACCCACCCCTCCCTTTCTTCCACCCACCCCTCCCTTTCTTCCACCCCACCCTCCCTTCCTTCTACACACCCCTCCCTTCCTTCCACCCACCCCTTCTTGCCTTCCATCCACTCCTTCCTTCCATCCACCCCTCCCTGCCTTCCATCTACCCCTTGCTTCCATCCACCCCTTGTGCTATTGTTTTTTTCTTTTGGGGGGGTTAAACTTAAGCTTTAATGTGTTAATAAGCTGGAAGTAAACAATGTGGAAGCAGGCTTGGACTGCCTTCTTTATCTGTAAAGTAAACAGTAGACAGAACATATTTTCCTTGCAGATTCTACCTTAGCAGTATGAAGGGACTGCTGTGTTTTTCCTGAAAACTGTCTGTGTAATGGAAATCTGTACACTGGAATAAAATAGGCATTTCTTCTAATGCTAGAGACCTGCCCAGTAAGTTGGTCCACTTACCAGGCAGCCTGAAGAACGATTAACCTGCAAGCCTGAAAAACCAATAAAATAGTAAAATCCTCGCCTCTGAAACAGCAGATAAGAAATCCTCTTCAGAAACTGCACTTCTGCAAAGCCAGTGTTCTTGTTGGCTTACAAGAATGTTGGTTTGGCAGGTTATGAATTATGAGAACATGTCCAGCTGGCAACTTCTTTCAAAGCTCTGTGAAGATTTTCAATCATTTTGGCAATGTGAAATGAACAGCACAGATCTGCCCACTTAAAAGAGGTTATTTGTATTTGTTTTAAAATGTTTTATTTTGACACATAAACCTTGTTTAAAAAAAATCATGAGACAGGATAAACATGGGAGTATAGACTTTCATTGTTATGAGATGTTATAGAATGAAATATGTCCTCCAATACAGTACAGTTCTGCATCTTTAGACAGCTGTGCTTGCACTGCATTACAGCCAGAGTTTTGTTTTTTTTCTTTTTTCTCCAATAAAAATCTGTTTTAAGACTTGCATTATATTGATGTAGACTAGTCTTCTCCTGAATGGTTGTTAAAAGCTGGAATATGATGATCTCAGCTGACAACTGTACTGTTTCTTATACTTCTAAGTCTGGATCTAGGATCTCTTCTTAAAATAAAAAAAACAAAGGTGAATATTTCAAATCTTAACTCACATTTTAATCTAATGAAAGGAAAAGCAACACTAAACAATATCCTTATTCCGTAAACATAGTTATTGATGATCGACTTCTATCGAGGGGAGATGGCCACACACTGATCAAAATTTAGCCAGTCCCTGCTGAACTGGGAGAATTTCAGTGGATGGCCAGCTTTATTGACAGAAGTGGAGTGTGGCAGGACAGTGGCAAGCATTGAGAGTAAAAGAAGGGTATGACAGTGGAAAATTAAGTACAGGAAAGGAATGCAGAGGGTATGACAGCAGGAAGTATGTAAAGGAAAGTATAGGGTAAGACAAGAATTATGTATATGAAAGAAATGCTGAGGATAGGACAGCAGGAAGCATGTACAGGCAAAATGCTGAGGATATGACAGCGGGACATATGTACAGAAATGAAATGCAGAGACTAGGACAGTAGAAGTATGTACAGGAAAGGAATGCAGTAGATATTACAGCAGGCAGTATGTACAGGAAGACATGCAGAGAATATGACAGATGTATGTATAGAAAAGGAATGCAGTGGATATTACAGCAGAAATTATGTACAAGAAAGAAATGCAGAGAATATGACGGCAGACAGCATGTGCGGGAAAGGAATGTAACGGGTATTACAGCAGGAAGTATGCATAGGAAAATAATGCATTAGATGTGACAACCAGAAGTATGTGCAGGAAAGGAATGTAGAAGGTATGACAGCATGAAGTATGTACAGGAAAGCAATGCAGAGAGTTTGACAGCAGGAAATATGTACAGGAAAGGAATGCAGAGAGTATGACAGCAGGAAATATGTACAGGAGAAGACTACGGAGAGTATGACAGTGGAAAATATGTGCAGCAGAGGATTGCGAAGGGTATAGCATTGGTAGTAAGTGCATAGGAAGAGTACAGAGGGTATAGCATGAATAGGGGGTGAAAGAATGTAGTATTGAGGGGTGGGGCAAACTTTTTTGGTAAGAAAGGAGCTGCCACAGAACATAGCAACATATTGTGAATGGGGGGGAAAAGAATTTAGTATTGACACTTGGGGGTGAGGCTTTGAGAGAATATTGTGTGTGTGTATGTAAGAGAGGGGGTAGCTGGGGAAATGAAAAGCAGAATAATTTAGTGCGGGAGAGCATAGGATATAGAAGCTAAAAAAACAATGTTTTGAGAAAACAATGTGTGATGGGATGTGGATACTGATAGTGAAAGATTGTCTCTGCTAGGGAGCGGCAACAACTAAAGCCAACGATATACAGATCAAACTTTGGCCAGTTTTGCAGGAACTGGACGAATTTTGATCCATCTATTGGTAGGCTGGTTGTACTGAAGTTGATCCATCAATCTTGTCCTTTTTCTTTTTTTTTCTCACCCAATCACTGCCGACAGCTATAGCCACCAGCAGTGATTATTGTATTCTGCTATTGAGGAAGACTATCAACGCTTCCCACTGGCGGAAAACAATAGTGCTGTAGAAGGGATTCCCCTGTCAACACTGATTGTGTTGATGGGGGAATGAAGCAATTTTCTTTCCTTCAACCCATGATTGAAGGAAAGAAAATTGCAATATTTATAGCCTGCCTAAATAAACAATTGTGTGTACTGTGGACCTGACAGCAATGCAAGGCAAAACTCTGGATGGGGTCAGATGTAAAATTGGGAACATATGCAGTATGCTTTCTTGCTATATTCACTCTTAATGGCTGAATCCTCTAGTGGTATAAGGGAAAATGGCAATTACTTTTTATAGCACACAAGATTAAAGCTCTCCTGTCCATTAAGGATCTGGGGACAGAGCAACTGGTTAGGGCCTGTAACTCTGAGCTGTGTACTATACATCAAGATCTCACAAGAAACCCTATCTAGGACACTTCATGACCTTAATGTGCTTCTTCTTGAGCCACTCCTTTGTTGCCATGGAGGTATGTTTTGGGTCATTGTCATCCTTGGAGACCCATCCACGACCCATCTTCAGTGTTCTGGCTGAGGGAAGAAGGTTCTCATCCAAGATTTTACAATACTTGGCCCTGTCCATTGGCCTCTCAATGCGGTAACGTCGGTCTGTATCTATAGTAGAGGAACAAAGCAATAATGTTTTCAACTCCGTGCTTGACTGTAGGGATGATGTTCTTAAGGTCATAGTTGGCATTTTTCTTCCTCCAAACACAGCAAGTCGAGTTAATGCCAAAGAGCTCAATTTTGGTCTCATCTGACAACAGCACTTTCTCCCAATCCTTCTCTGAATCATTTAAATGTTCATTGGATAACTTCACACGGACCTGTACATGTGCCTTCTTGAAGAGGGGGCTCTTGCGGGCGCTGCTGGATTTCAATCCATGGCGGCGTATTGTGTTACCAATGGTGTGTTTGGTGACACTGGTCCCAACTGCCTTGAGATCATTCACAAGCTCCTCCTGTGTAGTTCTGGGCTGATCCCTCACTTTTCTCATGATCATCCTTACCCCATGAGGCAAAATCTTGCATTTAGCTCCAGACCGAGGGCGATTGATGGTTATTTTGTACGTATTCCATTTGCGAATAATCGCTCCAACAGTTGTCTCCTTCTCACCAAGCTTCTTGCTGATGGTCTTGTAGCCCATTCCAGCCCTGTTCAAGTTTACAATCTTATCCCTAATGTACTTTGACAGCTCTTTTGGTCTTGCCCATGGTGATTTTGAGGTTTGATTGGAAGAAATAGATTCTATGAACAGGTGTCTTTTATACACATATCGAGTTGACATTAGGAGCACCTTCTTAAATTGACAGGACTAATCTGTGTACCACATGAGCCAGTCTGAGGGATCCAGAATTATTGTTGGTTGGTAGGGGATCAAATCATTGGTTAACATTTGTATCGTGTTTTTTCTGGACACCTATGTCCTGCTACACCTATGATAAAAATTATAGACCCTTCATTTCTTTGTAAGTGGGCAAATGTACAAAATCTGCAGGAGATCAAATAATTATTTTCCCCGCTGTATAGAGTAGGGCTCACTGCTGCTGCTGTTCTCAAGACACATAAGAAGTCATTGCCTGACCCATTCCACCAAGATTCTGCCTCTAGCTGATATATTATTTATGAGTATTCTTACCCTTTAAAATGAAATATTAAAAAACATGGGGCAAGACATAAACTTAGAGTGTTACTAAACCCACAAAAGTAAAAATCAGTCTGTATATGCAGTGTTATACTCACTGTGGAACCTAAGGGGTTAATCCCCCTCCGCATTGTGTAAAAAGGCTGTTTGATCCTGTCTTCTCTGATCCTCCTCTCCATCTGCTGATAGTACAGAGCTCTAGGAGTCACTCTGCACATGCTCAGTTTAGTGTGTATTGCTAGATTGTTTTTTTTTTTTTTCTCTGGGAGTGTGCATGTGATCAGCACAAGGCCAATCAGCACTGTCCAGACAAAGCGTCAGGGGTCATGCAGCCTCAGTCAGTCAGGACAGTCAGAGTAGAATGAAAACTCCTACAATCTTTAACCGGTGCTCAGCTGGACACTGATAAAAGTCACAAGACTGCTATATACTGCTGATGAGAAAAGGTATTTAGCAGTTTATATTTACTAAAATAATTGCATTTCCATGTTCTGTGTAATGTGGGAGACCAGATATAGGTCCTGGGTTTAGTAACACTTTAAAAAGAACTTATGTTATGTTTAATGTTGTCATATTTCCCATAATTCTGTCATCCAGTTATAATGTATTTGTTGTGAAATACATGGGACTTTGTGATTCAATGCGGCCTTGTCTGGGAAATATGAACACACAAAACTGTAACCTGCCAGTTAACAGACTTCTTGTGCTCCGATAAATAATAGTTGTGTCTGACTGCCAGAGCGAATTGCTGGACTATTGATGTGTGTCTCCTCAGGGCACAAGCAGGCATTTTTGCTTGCATTAATTTGCACCAAAAGATTATTTTTTTAATTTATTTGCAAGACATTTTACTAAGATAGCAGGTTATTTCTATGAAGTGCATGTTCTGTACAGCTCTGCACCAGTTCTTCTGCTTTTCAATTCAAACTTTGTGTTAACACTGTACACCATTTGTCTGATGAATGGAAGAAATACAACCTGTTTAAATAGTTTGTAGCCATAGTAAATGCTTTCTGCATTAGTTCGCTTATAAAAATGTATGATTTTGAATATTCTATAACTCATCTTTGATATATAAACCATTGGGATAATGTATTCCTGCCATGGTTGCCAGCCCACTAATTTATGTATTTTGCATGCAACTAACTACATTTTGACTGAAAATTTATATGGACAAGTTGCTGCAACATTAGATTGCCTACATGAATGTTATATTCTAATTTTCAACAGGAAACAATTCTCATGTTGGTACAGATTTTTGTTACCTTTTTTTCAATTAAACTTACCGTATTTTTCGCTCCATAAGACGCACTTTTTTCCCCCTAAAAAAGAGGGGAAAATGTCAATGCGTCTTATGGAGCGAATATGTAGCGGCCGGTCCGGTATTTCCACCGCCGCCGTGTCAGAATACCGGGCTGGCCGCTCAGCTCTGCAGCGGGACCTTACCTGTTCCTCTATCCAGCGGTGCGCTGTCTTCCCGGCTTTTGTAGTGTGGGCACTCGGCTTGACAGCTGGGTGCCAAGTGCGCATGCGCAAGAAGCGGTGCTGTTTGTGAATGGTAAGGCGGCACCTGGGACACATGACAGGTCCCAGAAGCCGCCGGACCAATCACAAAGCGCAGCACTTGTCGCTCATGCGCACTGGGCACCCGGCTGTCAAGCCGAGCGTCCACACTACAGAAGCCGGGAAGACAGCGCACCGCTGGATAGAGGAACAGGTAAGGTCCCGCTGCAGAGCGGACACTAACTAAAGAACAACTCCGCGGAAGTAAGAGTGGGTACATGTCAAATTCAGGTATCCACTCCCCCCCCTCCCCAAAGGTCAGCAGTCATCTCCTGTACTGTCCGCAGTCTCTGGTCATCTCCTGTACTGTCCGCAGTCTCTGGTCATCTCCTGTACTGTGTCCGCAGTCTCTGGTCATCTCCTGTACTGTGTCCGCAGTCCCTGGTCATCTTCTGTACTATGTCCGCAGTCTCTGGTCATCTCCTGTACTATGCCCGCAGTCCCTGGTCATCTTCTGTACTATGTCCGCAGTCTCTGGTCATCTCCTGTACTATGTCCGCAGTCTCTGGTCATTTCCTGTACTATGTCCGCAGTCTCTGGTCATCTCTGGTCATCTCCTGTATCTCTGTACCGTGTCCGCAGTCTCTGGTCATCTCCTGTACTGTCCGCAGTCTCTGGTCATCTCCTGTACTGTGTCCGCAGTCTCTGGTCATCTCCTGTACTATGTCCGCAGTCTCTGGTCATCTCCTGTACTATGTCCGCAGTCTCTGGTCATCTCCTGTACTATGTCCGCAGTCTGGTCATCTCCTGTATAATGTCTGCAGTCCATTGGTTCAGAATATTTTTTTCCCTGTTTTCTGCCTCTAAAACCTAGGTGCGTCTTATGGTCAGGTGCGTATTATGGAGCGGAAAATACGGTAATGCCAGGCCCTTCTAGTCCCAGAACAGTGTAATTGTTTAGAACACAACCAATAAAAAAATCTTTGAGCTAACAACACAATGACATTGTTAGTTCATAGGCTGAAGGTTGTAGCACATCACTAAATGACTGTCAGGGTCTCTGAAGATCTGGATTCAAGTTAACTAGAGCAAGCAAAAAACTATAATTTAAACCCATACAACAGGGTACTTGATGCTCGATTTTATAATTGGAATCTTAATGTCATATTGCGTTATCTACACATATTTGCTTCTCCTTTCCAAGTAGATAAATATCGAGGAGTTATTTTGCCAATACATGTACAATATATACACACATAGTAAGTGATAGTGATGAGCACTTCTGCTGACGCAGGCAATTTATCATTGTATGTAAGAAAATTACAGAGGTTGCAACACTAGGATTTATTGTACCATTAATAAAGTAATAGCATATGTTCCATATAGTAGCATTCATTCAGGGATTACAGCAGCCCTTTGTCAGGTTACAAGCACATTTAACAACATAAAATCATGATATACATAATATGGATGGACATCGAAAGTATGTAACATTTTACCTATAGGTGAGTAGTATACGTATACTTTTTTTTTTTTTTTTTTTTTTTTAATTTTCACCTTAAGCTATCAAGCTTTGTAGACCAGAGCTCAACTGAATTTTATGCAAAATGATGGTTAAAAGTTCCACCTGTTGTCGGGATGCAGCATTACAGAACATCTTTGTGCAAGGCACTTTTTCTTCAGCAAGCTGAATACTGGTTACTATAGCAGCTCCAATGAGTTTGATTGAAAGTGTTTTACATTATGTGACCCATTAGTGTGTAGAACTGAATCCAGACTGACTGATATGGGTTTTTTTTTTGTGTTTTTTTTTTTTTTGTAATTAATATCATGCACAGTAATGTCTACTTGTCTGTCTTTAGGTACCTCTTTGCACTGCAAGTGAAGCAGGATATGGCGCAAGGCAGGCTCACATGTAATGAAAGCAGCGCTGCACTCTTAATTTCCCATATTGTGCAATGTAAGTTTTTACATACATTTGTATGCGTGACACTTGCCTTACTTAATGAATAAATAAATACTTGGTAATTACCTAATGTCTGAATTCGGTAATTATCTTTTCAGATATTGCAGCTTACTAATGCTTGTGGTGGATGCATTCGTTTTTTGCTTTTTTCTCCTCTGTGATCTGGTCACCTCATGTATTAGAGTGCTCTCACTCTGGATGAATGAGTACAGGGGCACCTAAGGACAGCCGCATCGTCAGTCCAGGGGGAGAGGAGTGTTAGATGGAATAGCAGATTTAAATACTGACTATAAACAACAGACTAATTGAAGCCAAACTCCAGCTAACACTTTATAAGCTGTTATGGCAAACATTTTTTTTCTTTTTGGGATAAAGTTTTACATAAATAAATGCTGATCATTGTAAACACCCCTTATAGTGGTAAATGGTTTTGTCTCATATCTGTAACTGATGCATTCTCCTGGAGAGCTTGTTCTTTTGAACATAGAACATAGACTTGCTGGCCAGATCACCAGGTGAAACTAGAAGAAAGGCTAAAAAAGAAAATGAATGTAGCCATCACATCTAAAAAATGGTAAGCTGCAACATAAATGCTTCTGGGTTTAATTAAACTTTAAACAGTACACTGTATTTCTGGTAGATCGGCAGGGGTTTTCTGTACTTGCAGAGTTTACAAAAGTGATAAAACAGGTACACACTTTAATGCATTCATGGCTTTAAGTGAATTCATCCATTAGGTCAGGTTGTACTGCCTTTCCAGATTTTTGTACACTTTGTAACATTTCCTTTATATGTTTTTATTACTACATCCCCAATTACTAGTTGTTTCTTGAGTCTAGTTGGTACAGCAACCAGGCACAGTGTTGACTACTTGTAAGATACATAAGCCTGAGTGCAGTTTGTGATTCCTTATCTTATAATAATCTTATTATAAGATCTTATTAACCCTGAACTTTCTACTTTCTTTGTTGGGTAACTTCTCTCTTTCACAAAATGTGATTCATGTGAAAAAAATAACAGTACTGCTGTTGTTCTTGTCTGTGTAGCCATGACATTACCATGACATTCTTTGACTGTTTAATTTGCCATGACACTTTTCCTCTTTTAGGGAAAATACACTATATTGCCAAAAGTATTGGGACACCCCTCCAGATCATTGGATTCAGGTGTTCCAATCACCTCCATGGCCACAAGTGTATAAAATCAAACACCTAGGCGTGCAGACTGCTTCTACAAACATTTGTGAAAGAATGGGCCGCACTCAGGAGCTCAGTGAATTCAAGCGTAGTACTGTGATAGGTTGGCACCTGTGCAATAAGTCCTTCCGTGAAATTTCCTTGCTTCTATGGTGCCTTGAAAAAGTATTCATACCTCCTTGAAATTTTCCACATTTTGTAATGTTACAACCAAAAACGTAAATATATTTTATTGAGATTTTATGTGATAGAACAACACAAAGTGGCACATAATTGTGAAGTGGAAGGAAAATTACAAATGGTTTTCAAAATTTTTTACAAATAAATATCTGAAAAGTGTGCCGTGCATTTATATTCAGCCCACTTTACTCTGATACCCCTAACTAAAATCTAGTGGAACCAACTGACTTCAGAAGTCACCTAGTTAGTAAATAAGAGTACACCTGTGTGTAATTTAATATTTTATCAGTATAAATACAGCTGTTCTGTGAAGCCCTCAGAGGTTTGTTAGAGAACATTAGTGAAGGCCAAGGAACACACCAGACAGGCCAGGGATAATGTTTTGGAGAAGTTTAAAGCAGGGTTAGGTTATAAAAAAATATCCCAAGCTTTGAACATCTCACAGAGCACTGCAAGCCTAGTCATGCAAGCCAGAAATCTGGCCTTTATGGAAGAGTGGCAAGAAGAAAGCCATTGTTGAAAGAGAGTCATAAGAAGTCCCGTTTGCAGCCATGTGGGGGACATGCATAGCAGAGCAATACAAAGCAATGTGCTTACACAGTAAAGCACACAGTAAAACACAACAGAGCACACAGTTGACCCTTTGATCACCCCAGATGTTAACCCCTTCCTGCCCAGTGTCATTAGTACAGTGTCAGTGCTTTTTATTAACACTGATCACTGTATTGGTGTCACTGGGGATATCAGTGTCAGTCAGTTCCCCCCCAGTGTCAGAATGGCCGCGGCAGTCCCGCAGTAAGTCTCTGATCGCCGCCATTGCTATTATGAAAAAAAAAAAATTCCAGTATCTATACCGTTTGTAGACGCTATATCTTTCACGTAAAAAACAATTAATTTACACATAGTGGGATTTTTTTTTTAGCAAAGACATGTAGCTGAATACATTTTGGCCTAAATCTGTTACAAAATTTGATTTTTAATTTTTTTTTATAGCATAAAAAATAAAGAGATAATCAAATACCACAAAAAGAAAGCTCTATTTGTGGGGATAAAAGGACAAACATTTAATTTGGGTGCAGTGTTGCATGACAGTGCAATTGTCAGTTAAAGTAGCGCAGTGCCGTATCGCAAAAAATGGGCTGGTCAGGAAGGGGGGTAAATCCTCTGGAGGGCAAGTGGTTAAGTCCACATATTTATAGTACAATTTTGTAAATAGAGGAATCAGAGCATAAATATTTGTGTAGAGCGCAACATGACTTTCAGCAGGCACCCTGTACCTGTTTTCCTGAGTATCAGGTGCTTTGCTTTGCTTTGTAGCTGTTGCAGGCTTTTAGGTGGAATACTCCTTACTTGGTAAGCCAACTATTCCTTGATAACAAGACTGTCACTCAGAATGTGCACAATATCACTACATGATAATACTCTAGTTTAACGAGTTCTACAACTAACTTTTTCTTTAATGGTAAGCACTGGGGATGGCGGTGGTGCTTTTTACTTCCAGTGACCTATGCCAGCTCCTAAAACACCAGTGAATGTAGTTAAGCCTTTCAAATGATATTATCGGTCAGTCTTTTTGAGATTACATTTAAAAACTCTAGAAAGAAAAAAACATGATTAAAGCTGGTGTTTGTCATTTCAGTTATGTCGTTTTAACAATCTGCTTTCACCTTTAAACACATTTCCACATAAAGCGCTTAAATTGTTCCACATATTGCACCATAGTGAGCTAACCAGCCACACCAAAATGATCCTCCTCTTGTCAGTTCTACTCTAGCTACAAAATATTAACCTCTTGCTGTCCGCCTGCTGTTTATAAACGGCAGGGCGGTGGCAGTCCAGGGGCGGGTTGCCGTTCCTAAACGGCACCCGCCTTTTCTAGGTGTGCGCGCTTCCTGGGAGCGCGCACCACCGCGATCCGGTGCCTGCTGTGTCCTCCGGACACAGTGAAACACCGATCGTCAGACGGGACCTCTGTACGAGGTCCCGATCATGTGATCACTGATTGGCGAATCAGTGATCACATGCAAAGTAGTAAATTTTGGCCAAGATTTATGATGAAATATTATTTATTTGCAAAATTTTATTTAAAAAAACACTTTTTTTCAAAATTTTGGACTTTTTCATTTACATAGTAAAAAAAAATAAAAATCCCAGCGGTGAATAAATACCACCAAAATAAAGCTTTATCTGTCTCAAAAAAATGGTAAAAAATTCATATGGGTACAGTATTGCATGACCGCGTAATTGTCATTCAAAGTGTGATAGCGCTGAAAGCTGAAAATTGCCCTGGACAGGAAGGGGATAAAAGTGTCCGGACTGGAAGTGGTTAAAGACTCGGATTTATAGTTTAAGTGTGGTAAAAACTCTGAATCTGACGTGCTTTAAAAAGGAAACTAATGATGAAGCCTGGAACATCTGGAGGCAAGGCTCATATTATATCACATAAGTAATTTGTATATTCATTTTTTATATTAAGGTCTGTTTTCTTTTACTTAGCTGAAATAGGAGATTTTGATGAAGCCGTTGACAGAGAACATCTTTTAAAGAACACATACATGCCCCAGCAAGATACTCTAGTAGAAAAGATCATGGAATATCATCGGAATCACTAGTGAGTTCTTTTATCAGTCTTGAAAATTGCCTTTCTTTTTTGACTGCTTTGGTCTATATTTTAATTGTTGGATATTTTTAAGGTCTTTCAGTTATTATGCAACTATGTAAATGGTTTATGACCCTCTCCGAAGTAAGTTAGCAAGTCCATATACTGTAGAATTCTACAAATAATGGTTTAGGTCCTCTGTAGTCACTCAGACTACTTCATTGTCTTTCAGCAGCATTCTTTATAGATATTTGTAGTCATAATCCCTGTATTACAGTTCTAAATTTATATCTACCTGTTCTCTACAAGCTAATACATACATCTGCAGAAAACATTCAACTGTAAGATTGCTGATTTTAGATCCAAGTCTATTCAAATGCATCTTCTACATCAATTAAACTATATCCTATATATTTATTGTGGTGAGTGTAGCCAATTAGGCAATAAACTGAGCATTGCCTATTCACAAATTGAAAAGTCATGTTGTGCTTGCCACTCTTTTATTTTTTTTTTTGGGACTGTAATATTATCTGCTATTTCTAGTTTTGAATTATACATTAGGAACATTTGCATATCAAGATGCCCCCCTAAATGTGACAAAATATGCAGTCACTTAATATTCATATTTCACCTCAGATGGGTCTCCAGATATACAGTTAGGTCCATAAATATTGGGACATGGACACAATTCTAACAATTTTGGCTCTATACACCACCACAATGGATTTGAAATGAAATGAACAAGATGTGCTTTAACTGCAGACTGTCAACTTTAATTTGAGGGTATTTACATCCACATCAGGTGAACGGTGTAGGAATTACAACAGTTTGCATATGTGCCTCCCACTTGTTAAGGGACCAAAAGTAATGGGACAGAATAATAATCATAAATCAAACTTTCACTTTTTAATACTTGGTTGCAAATCCTTTGCAGTCAATTACAGCCTAAAGTCTGGAACGCATAGACATCACCAGACGCTGGGTTTCATCCCTGGTGATGCTCTGCCAGGCCTCTACTGCAACCGTCTTCAGTTCCTGCTTGTTCTTGGGGCATTTTCCCTTCAGTTTTGTCTTCAGCAAGTGAAATGCATGCTCAATTGGATTCAGGTCAGGTGATTGACTTGGCCATTGCATAACATTCCACTTCTTTCCCTTAAAAAACTCTTTGGTTGCTTTTGCAGTATGCTTTGGGTCATTGTCCATCTGCACTGTGAAGCGGCGTCCAATGAGTTGTGAAGCATTTGGCTGAATATGAGCAGATAATATTCCCGAAACACTTCAGAATTCATCCTGCTGCTTTTGTCAGCAGTCACATCATCAATAAATACAAGAGAAGCAGTTCCATTGGCAGCCATACATGCCCACGCCATGACACTACCACCACCATGCTTCACTGATGAGGTGGTATGCTTAGGATCATGAGCAGTTCCTTTCCTTCTCCATACTCTTCTCTTCCCATCACTCTGGTACAAGTTGATCTTGGTCTCATCTGTCCATAGGATGTTGTTCCAGAACTGTGAAGGCTTTTTTAGATGTTGTTTGGCAAACTCTAATCTGGCCTTCCTGTTTTTGAGGCTCACCAATGGTTTCCATCTTGTGGTGAACCCTCTGTATTCACTCTGGTGAAGTCTTCTCTTGATTGGTGACTTTGACACACATACACCTACCTCCCGGAGAGTGTTCTTGATCTGGCCAACTGTTGTGAAGGGTGTTTTCTTCACCAGGGAAAGAATTCTTCGCTCATCCACCACAGTTGTTTTCCGTGGTCTTCCGGGCCTTTTGGTGTTGCTGAGCTCACCGGGGCGTTCCTTCTTTTTAAAAATGTTCCAAACAGTTGTTTTGGCCACGCCTAATGTTTTTGCTATCTCTCTGATGGGTTTGTTTTGTTTTTTCAGCCTAATGATGGCTTGCTTCACTGATAGTGACAGCTCTTTGGATCTCATCTTGAGAGTTGACAGCAACAGATTCCAAATGCAAATAGCACACTTGAAATGAACTCTGGACCTTTTATCTGCTCATTGTAATTGGGATAATGAGGTAATAACACACACCTGGCCATGGAACAGCTGAGAAGCCACTTGTCCCATTACTTTTGGTCCCTTAACAAGTGGGAGGCACATATGCAAACTGTTGTAATTCCTACACCGTTCACCTGATTTGGATGTAAATACCCTCATATTAAAGCTGACAGTCTGCAGTTAAAGCACATCTTGTTTGTTTCATTTCAGATCCATTGTGGTGGTATATAGAGCCAAATATGTTAGAATTGTGTCGATGTCCCAATATTTATGGACCTGACTGTACAATGCATTCCTAAAGAATTCACAATGCCCTTCACTTTTTTCAGTTTTGTTATGTTGCAGCCTGATACTACAATTTGTTTAAATTCCTTTTTTTTCTCCTTAATCTACACTCAGTACCCCATAATGACAAAGTGAAAACAGAATTTTAGAAATGTTTGCAAATGTATGCAAAGGAAAAACTGAAAAACCACATTGACATAAGTATTCAGGCCCTTTGCAACAAAACTTTATTTAGCTCAGCTTCCTCCTATTTCTCTTGATCATTGCTGAGATCTTCCTACACCTCGATTGGGGTCCACCTGTGGTAAATGAAATTGATTGGACGTGATTTGGAAAGGCACACACCTCTTTATAAAAGGCTTCATAGCTGACAATATATACTGTTTCAGAGCAAAAGCCAAGAGGTCAAAGGAACTTCCTGCAGAGCTCAGAGACAGGATTATTGTAAGGCACAGATCTGGGGTAGGCTACAAAAATAATTTCTGCTGCACTGAAGATTCCCAAGAACACAGTGGCCTCCATAATTCTCAAATGGAAGAAATTTGACACAACCAGGACTTTTCCAAGAGCTGGTGGCACGTCCAAACTGACAATTGGTGGAGAAGGGCCTTAGTAAGAGAGTTGACCAAGAATCCGAAGGCTCCAGAGATTCTGTGTGGAGATGGGACAGCGTTTCAGAAGGACAACCCTCACTGCAGCCTGCCACCAAGCTGGGCTTTATGGCAGAGTTGCTAGACAGAAGTCTATCCTCAGTTCAAAACACATGAAAGCCTATTTGGAGTTTACAATAAAGTTCCTGAAGGACTCTCAACCTGTGAGGAACAAGATTCTCTGGTCTGATGAAACCAAGATTAAACTGTTTGGTCTCAATTATAAACATATATGGAGGAAACCATGCGCCATTTATCACCTGCTCTATACCATCAAAACAGTGGAGCATGATGGTGGCAGCATCATGCTGTGGGGGTGTTTTTCAGCAGCAGGGACTGGGAGACTGGTGGAAACAAATGAGGGGGCTTTCTGTGGGCTACATGTTTTGTCAAATAAAGCCAGGTATGATACAGTTGCTGAGGTTGGTGGATGGTTGGGCATAAATTGTGATAGAGTATCTGGGGTACTGAAGATACTAGAATTAGTACAGTATTTCCTAGTAAATTTATTATGCTTTAATTTACATATGTTTTAAAATCTACAGTGGTCAGACGCCAGCTGAGTCAGATTTTCAGCTCTTGGAGGTTGCCCGTCGGCTAGAGATGTATGGCATTAGACTACATCCAGCCAAAGACCGAGAGGGAACTAAGATAAATTTGGCCGTTGCCAACACAGGCATCCTAGTATTTCAGGTGTGTAGTATTTGGTTTCCTTTACGTAATTTCCATTTTTCTGCCAACTTGGCTGTAATTACATAGAATAATTTTCCAGTGTGTATTTTGACTTTTTTCCTGCTACTATGAAAGGTGAAATTAGGAACGTTTTCACAATGAACAATTAGACACTTGAGGACAGTAATATTTTTGAGAAAATAAAGCAGTACTTGTAGTCTTTTTTATTAAAAGGAAAACTGAAGTGTTGCTTTATTAAATATTTTGTGAAAATGTAATGTTTTCTGTCTTTCCTAATTAGTAAAATATTTTTCAAACTTTTACTACATAGAGTATAAGTGACACTGTATGTAGGCTTTCTGGCCGACTGTATTAAAGAATAACATCCTTGTATTTCGTAGTCTTCACTGGAAGCCACACAGCTGCTTTTTAAAAGTCTGCTGACTGCAAGTGGTAATAATAAAATGTCCAAATGTATAATTTCATATATAGCTTATTAAAAAGAGATGTAGAAAAACTAGATTTTGATCTTTCATACAAAACATAATAAAGAAAATATATATTGAAATACCTCTAATTTCATTTTTAATTGGGTAGTGCACAGTTTTTTTGCAATTCCCTGGCAACCTGTAGGATTTCAAAATCTTCTTCATACGGTTGCAGAAAACTGCATTATTTGCTTACACATATAATCATATGAAAAAGTAAGTATACACCATGGAAATTGTTGACTTTTTCAAAATAACTCAAAATTCAAGCTAAAGATATTGATTCACACATGACCTACGGACAAAGGTGATCTACTTGACCAAATTGTTTGTAAAATTGTTAGGTGTATTCTATTTCATAATCTACTTTAACAAAAAAGCATATTTGTTCCATGGGAAAAGTAAGTACACCCCTCCATTTACCATCACTTCAAATCCTTGAAATTAGAATCCATTTGTCCACACTAGATGCCAATGACCAGCAAAGAGAACAACAGACTCTAAATGTTTAAGGGTTAAATAAGACAGGCTCCCCCTACATAGTACTAGGTACTAAGTAGGGGAAGCCTATTTTATTTAAATTTTAAACATTTAGAGTCTGTTGTTCTCTTTGGTGTTGACGTGAGCCTTCTAGAACAATGTTCTGAAAATTGATCAGTCAAAGAGTAGCTCGGTCACAGTAACAGTAGACTTGTTTGTCGCGTAACAAAGAGAGTATTTCAGGAGAATAACCTCCTAACAACTGTGAAACATGGTGGTGGAACTATTCTGGTTTGGGGTTGCTTTTTAAGGCCTTTGCTGCTTTAGGGACAGTCATCAAGTCACTTTTACATTTTGCATCAGATCAAAGTGTGATTGTTGATAATCTGAGACCATCTTTCCAAAGGTTGAACTGGGAATGAGTATTTCAACATGCTAATGATCCAAAGCACACTGACAGATCCAAAAACCATGTCTGTAAAAGAAGAAATAGAGGTTTATGAATTGCTAATCCAAGCCCTGATTTTATCCCCATTGAAATGTTAAAGGGAGTTTTGAAACGAGCAGTTCATGCAAAGATACCCACAAAAATCTGAAGACATGTTGCACGAAGTATGGTCAGATTAATCGATGTCAAAGACTGGTGAGCAGTTATGCAAGAAGTCCTTTCCATAGCAGCTTTTGATTAAACTCAAGAGTAGAATTAATTTCTCCACAGAATACCTTTACATCTATTAATGTAAGGCAACAGTTTCCATGGGGTGTACCTAATTCTTCATGTGCAATGCTTCACTACCCTATTTAAAGTGTATGCCGAGCCTCTGTTAAAGAATCTTCCTGTCCTGCGAACTGTGGTTTTACCAGACAAGAACTGAGGAAAAATCTGCAACAGGGCAACAGACAGAAATAGAAGGTCTTTCAGGGTATCCTAGCCTTCTCCTTCTCTACTTAAAAAAAAAAATATTTTTTTTTTCTGTCTGTGTTGCTGTTAGAGAATTTCCTTCACTTCCTGTCTGTTGTCAGCAGGACAAAAAAATTAAGGTAAATATCTTTAACAGAGCCCGAATGGAAGTAGAAACCTGACAGATGATTGAATCCTTCCACGGTTGATCCCTGAAAACTTCCTGCTTCAACCCAATAACTCTTCCACACACAGTTATTACCTTTTTGTATCACTTCACCCCTCTTTTTAGATTGTAAGCTCTAAAAAACAGGGCCACCTAAACCTCTTGTCTTGATTTGTATTGTAATTCTACTTTCTCGTTGTATATTGTAAAACACAATACAAACTGTTGGTGCTATGTAAATCCTATAATATAATTTCTTATAAATACTTTAGGAAACCGCTTTGACTGGACATACACTCTTGAGCTGTCATGATTTGTCATGATGTGCTTTCTGTACCATGTGTTTGTATGAAAAAGTATCCTGTTAAGTTTGTATTGCTTCCTTTGCGTGAAATCGCTGGTGTCCCTGCCAGTCCCTCTGCTTTCCTATTAAAGACTGACCACACTAGGCATGAGAGCACATTGTAGTCAGTTCTCCAGTTGTGGTGGGAACTCAGCCTGCACTCCTCCAAATAGGAGACTTCTGCTGACCCCCCCCCCCCCCCTCCTTTTTCACTGGGAAGATCAGTATTCTGTTGTTTCTCATCCCCTAGCTCTTATGCAGATGAGAACAGAGGGTATGTAATCATTAGGGATGCACTGATACCTTTTTTTGATCAGTGAGTACCAATACTTTCAGTCAAGTACTCGCTGATACAGAGTTCCAATACTTTACGGTGCAATTTGCATCCATACAGAATGTATAGACGCAAATCGCATTGCAAGTGTAGCATGCGATTTGAAGAGGAATGTGGTGCTGACCAGTCAAAAGCTGTGTAGGCAGTACTGTCACCGCTGTGCAGAGAGGAGAGAATGGCGCAGGGATTTGCGGGAAGAGGCTGTGAATTGGCTTTTCCTTATGTAACAGCATGGGGAAACCTCCCTGCACCACTCCTGTGTGAATGACAAGCATGGGTTTCACACAGAAGCATGCGATTTGGACAGGAATCGCACAGCGTTAGCAAGCTGTTAGCATTTTAGGTGCGTTTAGCAGTTTTTTTTTCTTCCAGAAAAACGCTCCCAAAAACTCTACAAAAACAATTGTTTTTCTGCTCCTAAACGCTGAAGCTTGAAAAACGCTATTAGCCTAAAATAGTGTGCATGGACACACAACATAAGACTATTTAGCTTCTAGGAGCTGAAAAAAATGCTAGTGTGCATGGAACCTCAGAGTGCATCTTTATTTTTAAATGCAATCTCTTAAAGTCAAAACACAATAAAAAGCAACATAAAACAGGGATTTTAATGCGTAGTGCACTTACCCATTTCACCTTCTCTCCTTTGTAGGAGCACAGGAAAACGTTTTAGTATGTCATGAATTGTAGAAAGAAATGGTCAAAAAAAAGTATAATGATGTGAAGTTTATTTTTTCAAATCACCTAATAATTAAAATAGACAATGTTGTCATTCGTTCATCACACTATTGTGCAGATGCGACTGAACTCTACCATTACTATGTTCTTCATTTTCCTTTGAGTTAGTTCTTCACTATCCTTGGCAGCAAGCAACAGAAGGATCAATTATTATGCCCTGAAAGGGTTCTCGTCTGTTCACAATATGGTCAATTTCAGGAATTTATATCCATGACTCTGATCACTGAACCAGCATGCAGCCAGTGCTCCTTAAAGTTTTTCTTATTGCATAAGGTAGAGTTATACTTTACAAAAACCACTAAGGCAGCTGTGTGCATAACAGTTGATTGATTTGCTCCTGGGTGCTCAGCTTTATAACTGCTGTCTTCTCAACAGGTTAACAAGGAACACACAGGTTATCTTAATAACATTCAAAAAAACGTTTTCTTTTTTTTTTAGGGTCACACAAAAATCAATGCATTTAATTGGGCTAAAGTGCGAAAACTGAGTTTCAAGAGAAAGCGATTTCTCATAAAACTGCGTCCAGATGCAAATGTAAGTAACAACATGTGTTTGATTCAAATTACATTAAAAAAAACGTTATGTGATCATAGGAAAAATCCAAGAAGCTTATTTCACCTTCTTCATGTTCCCTTTTCCCCTGTGAACCATTAGTTGTACCACATAGCATAGTTTGTTCTGCATTTTTGCACTTTAAATTATTTGCATTTTAATTATTTATAATATTTTTCAATATTACACTGCCCCCAGTGGCCACAGGTTCATAGTAAATTAAAGCGTACATGCAGAGAAGTAACCCTTGAAAAATACAGATCTTAGACAATGAGCAGGCATCTGTTTTTGTACAAAATGCTTACATTAAGTATGAAATAATGTGTATACACTATATAATCTCACTTGAATCAATTTACTAAATTGCAGTTTCTTAGTAATAAAACGTGAAATTAAAAATTAAAATGATGTTAAAGACATTTGCTGTGATACAATTACATACTAATTGGGTTAGATTATATGTTGCTTATAGATCATTGTTCAATTATTAACATTAATCGTTTTCATGCAGGGAAAAAGACCATTACTGAGGAGTATTTGTAAACTACAGAAATGTGCACTATTAGTTAAACATTGTTTTTAGCGTATTAGGAGAGGCAGATGGAGGTTAAGTCGTCCAAGTCATAAAGCCAATGCGTTTTTTTTTTTTTTTTTTTTTTTTTTTTTTTTTTTTATCACCCAAGCAAAAAGATGATTTGTTTTCAGTTTTATGTTTTAGTCTTGCCCATGCAAAATAAAGAATATATTTATAAAGCCACTAAAGCTTCCCTTTAAATCCTGCTTGGAAAACTAGCAGGGAGTGTGACGATCGTGGAGTCAGACCCCAGCCCTTCTCACCAAACTCGTGACCGGAGGACTAGCCAATCTAAAACCGCGCTGTCACGTGCGTAACAAAGATCTTCCAGCTAATGGACCACAATCTATGTACTTACAGCCTGGGAGCGATTGTTACTGGGTCAGGTTAATTACTCAATTAACCCTTCACACTGCCACCACCTCCTTTTTGTACAGAGAAAGAGGAAACTCGGCAATATTAGCAATAACACTATGATGGTTGAATAATCGTCTGTATACCACTGTCACCGCAGGCAGGGTATACAGAGGGTTAAACACACACAGTAGTGTTCTTCAGAGACAGGGGTTCTTAGTTTGCATTAAAGAGCTTTAGAAACAGTTCAACACTTTCAGAAAGTAAGATTTATTACTAAAAGGTCAAAAGGGTGCAATAAAAATATTTACAGAAAAAGATGTAGCCAATATAAATAAATAAATATATATATATATATATATATATATATATATATATATATATATATATATATATAAAAATATACAGAGAGCAATAACAAAGCAAAGAGATAACAGAAGTTTAGAGGGATAAACTACTTGCCATCAGCCTTGGTTTAAGCAGCTTTCAAGTGTCCGAGCAAAAGGGCCTTATCTCCCAGTTAGTTCCGATGTTAAAAGGGAGCTTCTTCAACTTCAGCTCAACTCCGCTTAGCTTAACTCCAAGCATAACAGCCTTTTTCAAGGAACTCAGCAGGGTGTCTCCTTAAAGCAGAGAACCAATTGCCTCATTTGGGGAGAGGTGTTGTAGGCGGGGAGCTCAGGCTATGACCAAATCCCTCACAAATTATACTATGGTCAATAACTTTTCCTAGGTACATGTAACATTCTATTCACGGGTAGATTAATATGCAGAATCATCTGCTGAACATCTAGATATGAAATATGACATACCTGCGGGGATGGTTAAGGAGATATCAGTTTCTGCTCTCCTGTAGATGTCAGATAGGGGGTGTAATATATCAGACGACTTGTATTAAAGTGATTGGTCTGAATATATGCCTGGTTTTTATGTAAGTCTTGCATATTCCAAGATATGAAATCATAGGGGAAAACTGATGTTGAATGTGATGTCTGGTTTACGACTTATCTTGAATGTCTTTGAAGCTCAGCGAGGGACTGGTTTATGGTTATACGATCCTTTTCCAAGCAGAGTCTCGCAGACATATGGGGGCCAGGCTAATTGGGGTTTATAGCCAGGAGCTCCCCTGCTGGGCCTTGATGCCGTTTTGAACTCCGCATCCAGGGACCACGTGTCACTCAACAGAGAGGGGAGGGGGGATTTGGAGGAGCTGATTTGGGAGTAGAAAATGAGAGAAGATGGAGGCCTTTGCCAAAATGGGGGTTCGCATCCATCTCTGTGTGCACGATTGCTACAGGGAGAGCTTTCACAGCACAGTTGTGACACACAGCTCAGGTTCCCAATGTACTCTATGAAGACATGTACTGTATCATATAGAGTATTGTGATGTAATTGTATTGTAATTTTAAATCCAATTTTAAATAAAGGAAACACATTTTATACAAGAAGACAATGACAATTGGCATCTTTACTACATATGGAAAAAGCTGTTACTTCTGAGCTAAATAGGGTTTTGATTAGACCTTGCAAGCCACGTAATTTTACATGAAGAAAAAGTGTGAAATGTTCCAATTTTACAATTGTTTATTTTCACAGAATAAATATAGGATTGTAATTACCCAAGTAAAATAGATATAGGTGATAATGATTTCCTATTTAGCTCCTGTCACATCTAGAAATATCTGCTGTATAGTTTATTTATAAACAGTTAATAGGGATGTATAGAGTTTTGGGTTTTTTTTTCTTCGAGGCTAAAACCTTTTTATTTAATTTTTTTCGTCAGTTGTAATTTTTCATTTAAGTGCATTTGAGTACTCTGGGCTTTTAGATAGGAACCATACAGTGGCAAAAATAATTATTTGATTCCCTGCCAGTTTTGGACGTTTGCCCACTTACCAAAATTGAGCTCTTTGGCATTAACTCAGCTCACCATGTTTTGAGGAAGAAAAATGCTGACTATGACCCTAAGAGCATCATCTGTACAGTCAAGCACGGATGTGGAAATATTATGCTTTGGGGCTGTTTCTATGCTAAAGGTAGAGGCTGACTTTGCCATTGGGGGGGGCCAATGGACAGGGCCATGTATTGTAAAATCTTGGATGAGAATCTTCTTCCCTCAGCCAGAACACTGAAGATGGGTCGTGGATGGGTCTTCCGGCATGACAATGATCCAAAATGTACCGCCAAGGCAACAAAGGTGTAGCTCAGGAAGAAGCACATTAAGGACATGGAGGGGGCTAGCCAGTCTCCATGTCTTAATCATATAGAAAATCTATGGAGGGAGCTGAAACTTCAAGTTGCCAAGCAACAGCCTAGAAACTTTAAGGATTTAGAGAAGATCTGTAAAGAAGAGTGGGCCAAAATCCCTCCTGAGATGTGTGCAAACCTGGTAACCAGCTACAAAAAAGTCTTACCTCTTTGCTTGCCAACAAGGGTTTCTCCACCAAGTGCTAAGTCATGTTTTGCTTGGGGATCAAATACTTAATTTGCTCACTGAACTGCAACTCAATTTATAACATTTGTAGCATTTGTTTTTTATGGATTTTTGGTTGATATTCTGTCTCTACCATTTAAAATACACATATCATAAAAATTATAGACCCTTCATTTCTTTGTGGGCAAACTTACAAAATCTGCAGGGGATCAAAAAATTATTTTCACCACTGTATAACTAAACTGCATGCTTGCTGAAAGCCTGCTTAAACTGACTGATTCAGTCCATCCCATCTCTGCTGGTAGAAGGAGGACCCTTCTACCAGCAGAGATGAGATGAGCTGAATCAGTCAGTTTAAGCAAGCTTTCAGCAAGCAAGTGTTCCCCATGAGAGTTATTCAACAAGTGTGTACAGTATGTAATTTTGATTTCCTGCTGTTAAGACCTATCCACAACATACATTATTAGGCTATTCACAACAAAGTAGCAAATCAGCTGCTAAAATGCTAGTGCTTGGGCCTCAAGCTAGCAACCTTCTGTGTGAAAGTATAAACATAAAATATTCACAAGCCAAAAAAAAGATAATGTATCCCAAATTATGGGGTATCTTTAATGAGTTCTATAGCCTCAGCATACACTTTAATTTTATAACATCAGCATTGTAATAGCAATATGAACAATATTTATTTTGCACAATCCAGTATGAGCGTAAAGTGTTACTAAACCCACAATGGTAAAGTCAGTCTGTATATGCAATAAAACATGCTTGTTATGGTCACCGTGGAACCTAAGGGGTTGTTCCTCTGCATTGTGTAAAAAGGCTGTTTTATCCTGACTTCTTTGATCCTCCCCTTCTTCTAGTGTCCTCCTTTTACCTCCCGTTCCCCTGCATTGTGTAAAAAGACTGTTTGATCTTGACTTCTTTGATCCTCCTCTTCTTCCAGGGTCTCCCTTTTATCTCCTGATAAGACCTATAGTGTGGAGTCACTCTGCACATGCTCAGTTTGGTGTGTATTGCTAGAGAGGGTTTTTTTTTTCTTGTGACACTGATAGAAGTAACAAGACTGTTCTAACTGCTGATGAGAAAAGGTATTTATCAGTTTATATTTACTAAAATAATTGCATTTCCATGTTGTGTGTACTGTGGAAGACCAGATATAGTGAATGCAGGGTCCTGGGTTTAGTGACACTTTAATTAAAAAAATCTCCTTTCATGCTGTAAATGCTGCCTGTCTCTTGGCCATCTCTTTCCACAACTTACTGGATTCCCTGCATACTTTGCAGCTTCTCCGCTGATGTTTACTTCAAATTTTTAAGTACTACATATCCCATGGTACCTTACTGCCTGCAAGCAATGATTCCTGTACAGACTCCGCCTCCTGAAACTACTCCTCTCTGCGCCTCTGTAGTTCAGAAGGCAGACTTTGTTAATTCTGTGACACAGCAGTGCCTACTCACAATGTATAGTAAAAAAACAGTACATGTCACAGAATCAAAGCATGTAAATCAGTGGTTCTCAACCTTTCTAATGCCGCGATCCCTTAATACAGTTCCTCATGTTGTGGTGACCCCCAACCATAAAATTATTTTCGTTGCTACTTCATAACTGTAATTTTGCAGT